GAATCTCTGTCCAAACTTAGCTACCGTATGCTCTCTAATAGTAGTGCACCAAGAGCGTCCCGTAAATTCCTCGAAATCTCGAGAACCGCTTATCAGAACCTATCGATGTGGGGTCGGAAATAGTAGCTGACGATGAGATCTAGTGAGAGATTAGAGTGTTGAGCTTCTGCAAAAGCTTGAAAACCGTAAAATAGTTATCAACTCGGCTCGGCCGGGTGCACTACTATTAGAGAAAATACGGTACTTTCTGGTGATTACCGTTTCAACATTAAACAGAATTAAAGTCCCCATGACCAAAATAATCATTTTAAAACTCAAAAATTTCGATTTCTTTCTGTTGCTTTATTTCTGTGGCTTGTATTTAAAAAAAATTGCTTTTAAAAGTTATGGAGAAATAACTCAGGTGAAATAACTCTTATTCAGGATCGCAAAAAGGCCCGAAAGAGAAGAAGAGACCCGAAAAAGTTGTATGGCAGATATCTCGTGATAGAGTAGCGTTTGGCAAAAACTGATTGCAGATTCGGAATCAGCGTGAAAAACTGCATCAGATAGGGTATTTCCCGAGTCAAAAGCTACGATAAGTTCACAAGATTTTCTAGTATGAAAAATGGTTCTCTATTGAAAAAGAGGTATTGATTTGATTGATTGATTTGATTGATTGATTGATTGATTGATTTGATTGATTGTTTGATTTGATTGATTGAAAAAGAGATATTGAAATCACCCTACCCTGTAGTGTTCTTTTTGAAGCTCGACAATCTCCTGTTGATTGATACTTTCAAAATGCTAAACCACTATTTAGAATAAACTAATTTCTTTTCCTATAGTAACATTAAAATCGTTTTCGTTTTCCTTTTCCTTTACGAGCCACACTCTTTTAAACTCTGAAAACTCTTGAAAACTGACCTGTTGATTCGTTTTGATTGCTGCAAGCATTGCTGATTGTAATTGTTGAATACTCAGCGATAAATCGGATTCCTCAAATTGTAGGGGTAATTCGTAAGAAACTAAAGCTAATTTTAAAGCTGTATTTTAAAGATTTAAGTTTAAAAGTTTAATATTTTGATTACCTGGCACATAAGAAACAATTTGGTACAACATTTGGCGTTTTCGCCTTTCTGTAGGCTTATTTGAAGTTTGGAAATGTTTCTAAAGATTTAAAATTTGAAATATAATACTAAAATTGACTTTTCTTGATCTAATACTCGATAAATGTCAAAATTTAAAGTCAGAATTTAATCTAGAATCAATTATGCATTTATTGATCTTAATCAAAAGTTTCAGTTTCAAGTTTTTCAATTATCCCTCTTGAATCTAATTCTTAATGAGTAGGGAAAATTTGATCAGTTTTCTGATGACCTAAAGTTTCTTTAGTTTCAAATTTGCGCTTACTCGATGATGCTAACAAGGGAACCTCTTTAGCTTACTCTCGAGTCCAAGAATGATTTATGATGGGCTTAAATTCAGGGAATTTTGACAGCTTTTCTTGAATCCAAGAACTTTTCTTGAATCTTGAATCCATGATTCGAGAAATTCGAGAAAAGCTGTCAAAATTCACTAACTTTCCCCTCGAATATTTCCATTCTAAAACCCCAAAAGCAAGTTTGGACAAAGATTCGAAAGAGATTTGGATACCGTATTTTCTCTAATAGTAGTGCACCCCGGCGGGCCGAGTTGATGACTATTTCCGAGTTGATGACGGTTTCTAAGTTTTCACAGAAGCTCAACACTTTCATCCCCCACAAGATCTCATCGTCAGCTACATTTTCCGACCCCACATCGATAGGTTCTGATAAGCGGTTCTCGAGATTTCGAGCAATTTAGGCAACGCTCACTACTATTACACTACGCTCACTACGGTATTTACCAATTGCCATCTAGCATTTACCTCTAGCACTGATTTACCCTCTAGCAATTTTGCTAAACGGATTTAGCAGTTTGGCATTTACCAATTGCCAAATTTAGCAGTTGGTGGACCTGGGCCCAGAATTATTGGCCTCCGGGTAGATCAAAGTGCACAAGTAAGTGACTTTGATATAAAATATCAAGAATCATTATACCGTATTTTCTCTAATAGTAGTGCACCCGGCCGAGCCGAGTTGGTGACTATTTTACGGCTTCCAAAGTTTTCACAGAAGCTCAACACTCTAATCCCCAACAAGATCTCATCGTCAGCTACATTTTCCGATCCCACATCGATAGGTTCTGATCAGCGGTTCTCGAGATTTCGAGCAATTTAGGCAACGCTCAGAGTGCACTACTATTAGAGAAAATACGGTAGCTAATTTGTTTTCCAATCGACTGGTACCTAAATCATTCTTGAACTCGAGAGTAAGTTTAAGAGGTTCTTTTGTAAGATTTAATTCACCAACGGCTTTGTCCATTATCACAAGAGCAGATTTTTAGATTATTATTATTAGATTTGAATATTAGAAATCTCCAGTGGTTATTATTAGATATTAGATAAAGAAAGGATATTAGAAATACATGCTACAAATTAAACTCAGTATGTATCTACAGTCGGACCTCGTTATTGACCTATAGAAAGGATTCCAGAAAAGAAAAATCGATCACTATCGAGTTTCAATCACTAAAGAGATTGCTTTATAAACATAAAAACTCTCAAATTTTACTCTTAAACACTTTTTTTCGTAAAATATTATTTTCTAACCAAATTGTAGGTCTAAAAGATGTTAAACAGCAAATATTAAACATAAAAGATGTCACTCATCCGTAAATTTATTGAAATGCTGTGCTTTCTGCCGTGCTTTTTGCTTTTTAAACTTAAACTTAAACTTAAACAAGACCTTTTTCCGTCAACAACAACACAACAACAACAACAACAACAACAACACCAACAACAACACCAACAACAACACCAACACAACAACAACAACAACAACAACAACAACAACAACAACAACAACAACCGCTACAACTTCAACGACAACACCAACACAACAACAACAACAACAACAACAACAACAATCCAACCAACCTCAGCATCCACAAAACTAAGAAAATTCAATCCAAATAACAAGTAGAATGGTTGCATTGTAATAAAATAGTAATGCAATAAAATTCTAGATTGAATCTCGATTGAATCAAATTTGTCAAAAAATTTGGTTGTCTAGCTTGAAATGATGAAAAAAATGGTGAGAGATTTGAACGAAATTTCCCCAAATTTCTCAATCAAATCAAAAAGCAAGGTTATCAATTTTTCCGTCTTCATTTCTGTTTTTTTTTCCAACTTTTTTTGCGTATCCTTTTGAGAAATGTTCACTTTTTTGAACGAGAAATTGATACCGAACTGTTTGTCCTTAGATTTGTGTTTTTTTTTGGATTTTTAAAGCCTGATAACTTTTGATAACTATTGATATGTTGATAACTATTGATCTATTAAACCTTGATAGCTATTGATCTATTAAACGTGATAACTATTAATCTGATGAACTTATAGATGAACTTATAGATGGACTTATAGATGAACTTATAGAGGAACTTATAGATGGACTTATAGAGGAACTTATAGAGGAACTTATAGAGGAACTTCTAGATGAACTTATAGAGGAACTTATAGACGAACTTATAGAACTTATAGATTCAGCTAAAAAAATGACCCATTCCACCGTGTTTCTGTAGAGAAATCTGTAGAGAAAAGGAACAAAATCTGTAGAGAAAAGGAACCAGCTTCGAATCCTGACCCAACTATTCGCTTGATTCCCTTAGTCCCAAGTGTTTTCTCTTTGCTTTAATTCTACATTTTAAATCAGCAAAGCTACAGTCATGGACAAAAGTCTTTTAACGTTGGTTTGAAGAAGAAGTTTGTTGGTAGAAGTTTGTTCTTTGTATATCTTGGTCCAAGTCCGACCAATTTGCTCGTTATCGACCAATGACCAACCAATCCAACGGTTAAAAGATTTAAGGAGCTTATTATATCTAATTTGTATGTCCCAAAAAATAATTTAAAGCATTAGTTTGTACAACAATTTTTTCATTCTTTAAAAGACAATAAAGTCTTTTTGTACCTGTGTTTCCTAGCTGTAGTCTTCTATTTTTGTACTGTACTGTACTGTACTGTACTGGACTGTACTGTACTGTACTGTACTGTACTGTACTGTACTGTACCGTACTGTACTGTACTGTACCGTACTGTACTGTACTGTACTGTACTGTACTGTACTGTACCGTACTGTACTGTACTGTACCGTACTGTACTATGTTTAGTTTTCTTTCTATTTTTGTGAAAGTATTGTAGCAATATATTAAATGTGGCTATGATTATCTGATTCGCTTTTATTCGCCTCCCGGAATTTGTACAATTTGCATCAATGTACATTAGTTAAAAGCCAAACTCTACATAAAAAAAATCAAGTTTCAACTAAATTCATATAGCTTGATTGTTTTGAGAACTAATTGGCGGTCGTTATGATTTTCTGATTTGCTTTTATTCGCCCACTGAATAAAGCATATAAATAATAATGCTTGCAATAAAATGAAATGAAATGAATGAGAAAATCACAGTAAAAGATCACAGCAAAAGATTAGAAACAAATAAAAAAGATATAAAGATTTGGTGATCAATGCCAATACGAATAACATAAATCTTATTCAAATTTGGTTTAATTCAAAAAATCGAGTTTCAATTTAGAGGATAATTAGTGTGAATTCGATCACCTAATCGATTCATCAGTTTTTCGCTAATCCGGGGAAAGCTGAAGGAATTTTGAAAAAGCTTTGAATTGCAAAATGAATTCTGAACATTCAAATAATATTACGCTTAGATTGGCCAAAATTTGATTTGATTTAGATTTGCCAAAAGAAATCTCAATCATTCAACAAAATTCAACAAATTTAGTTTGAAAAATTCAAAATTCAACAAATCTGGTTTGAAAAATTCAAAAAAGATGGGAAATCACAGGATTTGGTGATCAATGATCAATTAAAGGACGATTACTTCGCAAAAAGTGACTGGAAAAGCACGATCACTTTGCAAATCACGATCTCTTTCCACCATTTCTCGTTTGACCCCTTGGTCGAGGCAAACGCGCCATCGGGCATTGCGCTCTCTTAATGCAACGACCCATCGGCTCGCGCACATAACCCACTTCACACTTACATGCACGAGGACCACAAATTGCTGGACAAACCTGAAAAAAAAAGGTTGGCATGATTTTCTTGATAAACCCTTTTTTTTGTCTTAAAGAGTTTAAAATGGGTTTAAAAATTAGCTACAATTTAATGAGGGTTATCAGTTTTTGTGAATAACGTTTCAGAAATTGAGAAAACTGAAACTGAATCGTAATATATGAAATATGAATTGAATTTAAAAGCTTTAAAAAATAAATGTTTCAAGTTGAATGGTGAGTAATAACGAAGCCGACTTTTAGTTTGCTTTGATTTGATTGATTGATTTGATTGACTTGATTGGTTTGATTGATTTGTTTGATTTGATTGATTTGATTGATTGATTTGGTTGATTGATTTGTTTTATTCGATTGATTTGATTGATTTGATTGATTTGTTTGATTTGTTTGATTTGATTGATTGATTGATTTGATTGATTGACTTGATTGATTTGATTGATTGACTTGATTGATTTGATTGATTGATTTGATTGATTTGATTGATTTGTTTGATTTGATTGATTGACTTGATTGATTTGATTGATTTGATTGATTGATTGATTTGGTTGATTGATTTGTTTTATTCGATTGATTTGATTGATTTGATTGATTTGTTTGATTTGTTTGATTTGATTGATTGATTGACTTGATTTGATTGACTTGATTGATTTGATTGATTGACTTGATTGATTTGATTGATTGACTTGATTGATTTGATTGATTGATTTGGTTGATTGATTTGTTTTATTCGATTGATTTGATTGATTTGATTGATTTGTTTGATTTGATTGATTGACTTGATTGATTTGATTGATTTGATTGATTGATTGATTTGATTGATTGACTTGATTTGATTGATTTGATTGATTGACTTGATTGATTTGATTGATTGATTTTATTGATTAGTTTATGATTTAATTGTGGCTGTTTTTAAAATATTAAGTATTCTTTCTTCATTATTCAAATGAAAAAAGAAATTCTGAATGTTCTGGTCAACAATTAAGACCAAAATGGTGTTCTTCAGACTCTGATTTAGTAAATCTTCAAAAGTTTTATTTTTATTAGATGACTTTATTAGATTTCTTTTATTAGATTACTTTTTAGATTTATCAGATTTCGTTATTAGATTCTTTTACTAGATTCCTTTATTAGATTCCTTTATTAGATTCTTTTATTAGATTCCTTTATTAGATTATTTTACTAGATCCTTTTACTAGATTATTTACTAGATTCTTTTACTAGATTACTAAATCTTTAAATTTAATAAATTCAAAAATCTAACCGGATTCTCCTCTTGACATGTCGGCTCGCATCCGTTTCCGCACTCATTCAACTCCTCGTTTTTGCGACAATCTGAAGATTGAATCTTTGCAGAAACTTACAGAAACTCATTCTCTTCTTGATTAATCTCTACATTTAAAAGGAAAGCCCTCAAAACTTGAAACAAAATATTTTTTGGAAACATTGAAAGTCTTTAACATTTTTCGCTATTTCCTCAATTCCAAAGATTTGAGTTTCAAGTTTATTCATTAAACTCTATCCTTCCCAAATTCAATCCAGCTCTTTTATCTCCTTCATTTTTCGAATTTCTTTACTTTCTCTTTAAAGCTGACATATCAATTCTCAGAGTTTTTCTTAATTCTTTCATTTTCCTTTGCTGTAATGCAGACTCACCCGTTCTGATTCCCGTCTCAATACACTGTGGCACGCACGGGATCCGCGTGCATTTATAGCTCGGATCACAGTGGAAACCATCTTGACAAACGATATTCTCACAGTAATTTTGGCTGAAATTTTTGTTCACTTCTAGGATTTGAATTTATTTTATAGTTATCTAAGAAAGCTCTATGAAAAATAAACTAGTTACACTGAAAGACACAAAATTTTTGATCTTAAATCCCTTAGAAACCGCCGCTTGGTCACATTTTTAATCGAATGTTTCAAAATTGTAAATGACAAGCGCTTTTTTGGAATGGGAAATGTAAATGGCAAGCCCTAGTCAAGTTCATTCGATGGTTAATTCATTAATTCATTTAATGGTTCAAGGAGAGCTTCTTTCGTGTTAGATCGCCTCCAATAATCTTGTCTCTTTTCCAATGAGAACTGCCAGCATTTAGAATCTATTCTCTAGAGTTTTGAGTGAGTTTAATAGTCTTGAAATCTTGAAATCTTGAAACCTTGAAACGGAAAATCTGTAGATTTTCTTGAATTTCTAGTTGTTTCTTAACTTTAACTGTGCTACTCATTTATTACAGAAATTATCTTTCTATTATCTTTCTATTGGGTTGGGGAGAATGAGTCGGCGCCGAAAATCAAAGAAATTTCTAAAACTTATAGCAGACTTTGTCAAATGATATGCGTTTGATATCCGTAGATAGGTAGAAGGGTAACTAATTCTCTACAAAATAATATTTAAAAGAGAACTCAAACAGCGCCTCAACTCAACAAAGGATCATTTTTTCACAAAATCGATAAACTGTCATCTAGAGTAAACGGTTGGAGGGATCTTCCTGAAAATTTGGTAACTTATGTAATTGAGTGTGCTCTATCTTTTTTATATAAACACCAAAGGAGGTTTATGTGGAAGAAACTGTTCAAGCAATGAGTCGGACTTTTTGTCATTTTGATTAGCTGTGTTTGGGAATCCATAAAATCCCAAAAAAGAAAAGCTTTGTGGAATCTCTCAAAAGCCATTTTGTAAAGAAATAGTGGACCATTTTGATGAAACAAAACGTGTATTTAAAGAAGGTCTTATGGGTGCAAAAAGTTTCTTTAAATTTCGGCGCCGACTCATTCTCCCCAACCCAATATTATGTTTCTATTATCTTATATTTATCTTTCTATTATCTTTCTATTACCTTTCTATTACCTTTCTATTACCTTTCTATTACCTTCCTATTACCTTTCTATTACCTTCCATTATCTTTCTATTACCTTTCTATTATCTTTCTATTATCTTTCTATTATCTTTCTATTACCTTTCTATTATCTTTCTATTATCTTCCATTATCTTTCTATTACCTTTCTATTATCTTTCTATTACCTTCCATTATCTTTCTATTATCTTTCTATCAGTCCTTTTCCTTTTTATATTTAGGAATTCATGTGTGAGAAACATTAATCTTTACCCACTTTATTTCATTTCCTGAATAAAAGTATACATATGTCGTAGCCAATCTTCAATTTCACCCGAATTATAATTCGCTTACAAATTCGAAATCGGCTGCCTCATAGAATTTAGTGTTTATTGACCGTTTTCCCCGTTTTTACTACCTTTACTTGAAACTCACTTGTTGTTTATCGATGCCGAGTCTGAAGTGGCACCTGGAAAGCTCTTTAGAGTTAGATAAAAGTGAAAAGTTTGATGAAACTTATCCCCCTATTCCCTTTTAACGTAAACTAGCATATTGCTAGCAATAATCCAATTTAGATTTTGAATAAAATCACCTGGAACAATACAACAATTCAATAAATCTAATCTAAAACTAAAATTAAAATTTCAAAACAAATTCTTGTTGTTTTAACAATCAATTTTTTAAGCTAAGTTCTTATTGAACTTTTAGAGAGAAAGCTTAAAAAACTGATAAGAAATTTCGGTACTTTGTCGGTTATAAATCCACAGAGACATCTACAGTAGATGTCTATGCTTAACCGAGGTTAAGCACGCCCATCCGAGTCTTCTCGGTTATCGATTCTCGTTCGACTGATCAACTGATCACTTCAGACGAGCACTCTACTTTAGGTGAGCACTCTACTTCACTGAACATCACCACTCACAAGTTGTCAGCTTCTTGCTTAACCGAGTTGAGTCTCTGTGGATGTAGAACCGATGAGTATCAATTTTTCAATTTAAATTAATAATTGTCAACGAAATGATCTACCTTGTGTCCAAATAAAATGATAAATTGATAGATTTTTTCTTAAAGTTTCAAATTTCTTGACTTAAATGAATGATTCTTGAGCTTAATGAGCGAAAATCGGTAACCGAGAAGACTCGGATGGGGATGCTTAACCGAGTTGAGTCTGTGTGGATGTATAACCGACAAGTACCAAGGAAACTATGATGTACGATAGGAAATGTACAAGAGCATCTTTTAGAAAACAGTATCCGTCTACAGTAGATTACAAAATCCTTACTTCAAGCATAGATTTACTCGTCGTATACTTTATCTTGTATCTTTCTTATAGTAAGAGTTTTCGTAACCCATTCAAAAGTCTGTTTTTTTAAAATTTTAACTATCATAACTAAAGGCAACAGTAGTTGTCGGTTATAAATCCACAGAGACATCTACCGTAGATCTCGGTTAAGCATCTCCATCCAAATCTTCTAGGTTATCGATGTTCGTTCAACTGATCAACTGATCACTTCAGACGAGCACTCTACTTCACTGAACATAATCACCACTCACAAGTTGTCAGCTCTTTGCTTAACCGAGCTGAGTCTGCGTGAATGCATAACCAACAAGTACCGAAATTTCCATAAAATTCCACTCACTTATAGAAGCGCTTTCGCCTGCCAACAGAACAGCCAAAAGAAAAACGGATGACTGAAAAATTTAATTTATAAAATGATCTATAAAACATAAAATGATTTATAAAATATAAAATGATCTATAAATTATAAAATGATTTATAAAAACGGTGTTGTTTTTAGAATTTAAAAACAAAATTACCTTTAATGTAAGCATTTCTCAAATAATTTGACTTCTCTGCAAATCTTTTTCGCTTTTTCTAAATAAAGAAAGATAAAATGTCGACTATCGATTTTTCTTTGCCAAAAAAAACAACCACATTAACCCAGCTGGACAAATAATAGGAAAAGAAAGAGAATTAGATTTCGGCTTTTCAAGAATAACTTCCCGAAAAAACAATTTATTGAAATAAAAGAAATTTCTAGATTATTTAATACAATGTCCGTTTTTGGATCATCGAAAATAAAAGATCTACTGGTTTAAGAATGATGTTTAAAGTGATTCTTAAACCAGTCATTCTTAAACCAGTCATTCTTAAACCAGTCATTCTTAAACCAGTCATTCTTAAACCAGTCATTCTTAAACCAGTCACTCTTAAACCAGTCATTCTTAAACCAGTCATTCTTAAACCAGTCATTCTTAAACCAGTCACTCTTAAACCAGTCATTCTTAAACCAGTCATTCTTAAACCAGTCATTCTTAAACCAGTCATTCTTAAACCAGTCATTCTTAAACCAGTCATTCTTAAACCAGTCATTCTTAAACCAGTCATTCTTAAACCAGTCATTCTTAAACCAGTCATTCTTAAACCAGTCATTCTTAAACCAGTCATTCTTAAACCAGTCATTCTTAAACCAGTCATTCTTAAACCAGTCATTCTTAAACCAGTCATTCTTAAACCAGTCATTCTTAAACCAGTCATTCTTAAACCAGTCACTCTTAAACCAGTCATTCTTAAACCAGTCATTCTTAAACCAGTCATTCTTAAACCAGTCACTCTTAAACCAGTCATTCTTAAACCAGTCATTCTTAAACCAGTCATTCTTAAACCAGTCATTCTTAAACCAGTCATTCTTAAACCAGTCATTCTTAAACCAGTCATTCTTAAACCAGTCATTCTTAAACCAGTCATTCTTAAACCAGTCATTCTTAAACCAGTCATTCTTAAACCAGTAGTCATTCTAAATCAGTAGTCATTCTTAAACCAGTCATTCTTAAACCAGTCATTCTTAAACTAGTAGTCATTCTTAAACCAGTAGTCATTCTAAATCAGTAGTCATTCTAAATCAGTAGTCATTCTTAAACCAGTCATTCTTAAACCCAGCCAACATGCCAATACTTCAGCTTGTATCTACTTAAACTTGAAAATAAAAACTTAAAAATGAGAATAATTTCGAGTACAAATCACGCACTAAATATATAGATTGAATGGGATGGATGAGTGACTTTCAAATACACAACAATACCCCCATTCCCCCATTTTCCCCCCATTTTCCTCTTTTTCCATTCAAAGACTCGTTCACTTATCCTCCCTTTTCCAACAAAAACTATTTTGACAAAAGAAAAGATTCTAAGACAAATATTCTAAGAGAAGAAAAGAGATACTCGACAAATAGAATGGGCGTCATTTTCCCTCTCGACATTCCCGCAGTCTCTCGATGATTCATCAATCTTGGTACAAAATAAGTAACCGATTGTTAAACTAAAAGATCAGGGAAAGATTGAGTTTGGAAAACTCTCCATTGAATTAGTCAGCTTTCTGTCAAATTGTGCAACAATGTTCCACATATCGAAAAGCGAAATGTAAACGGTTTGTGGTCTGGTTAATGTTATTACATTACATATTATTAGGTTGTCCGAAAATAAATGAACGTTTTCAACTCGAATATTTAAAATCTCATAATTGATCGAAAAAAAAACTTTATTAATAAGAACCATTACAATTAACACATAAGTAACCGATTGTTAAACTTGCCAACGAGAAACAAGTTTATTTATGCCTGTAGCATAGAAGTCCGGGCCTCTGGAGGCGATAAAGTCGACGAAGGCGTTTTTTTTTGGCATTGTCTTGAGTTTTGAAGACAAGTTATAGATACTTTACGCGAAAACGAGGTTCAGACCAACCATCAATTGAATGAGCGACATGCGGAGGATGATTCGTTCACCGCTTCTTCTCCAGCCGTTCACCGCTTCTTCTCCAGCCGTTCACCGCTTCTTCTCCAGCCGTTCACCGCTTCTTCTCCAGCCGTTCACCGCTTCTTCTCCAGCCGTTCACCGCTTCTTCTCCAGCCGTTCACCGCTTCTTCTCCAGCCGTTCACCGCTTCTTCTCCAGCCGTTCACCGCTTCTTCTCCAGCCGTTCACCGCTTCTTCTCCAGCCGTTCACCGCTTCTTCCCCAGCCGTTCACCGCTTCTTCCGTTCACGACAACTTTCTCCCGGAGAAAGTTGTCGAGGCGCTTGAAAAAGTGGTAGTCGGTAGGCGAAAGGTCCGGTGAATCTGGCGGGTAGTTCAGTTCGTTCAGCTTTTGCAGGGTCGGTTGTGCGACGTTCGGATTAGCGTTGTCGTGGAGAAGAATTGGACCTTTTCTGTTGACCAATGCCGGGCACATTCCACATTAGCATCAGTTGATTTTGATTTTTCGCTGTCTAATTGTAGACTTTTATTGAATCAATGCCTTATAATTTAAAATGTTTACAGTTTTTTTCAGTCATTTTCTTGAGCGTAGAGCTTCAACGAAAAGAAGGGAGTTTCAAAGATGCTTGAGTCAGCAATATGCCAGCTTTTTGAGACAAATTGATTAAAGATTTGGTTTGGATTGTCTGAAATAATGTTCATATTAACTAAATGATAGCTAAATGTCTAAATGATTACTAAATGACTAAATGAATGTTATTATTGACTAAATAATATCAAGTAAGTGTAGCTTTCTTCTTTTTTTATAAGTTCTTTAAATCAAAAGATAAGAGTTTCAAAATAGACGCGGTGTTTGCGGTAATCGCGTCATTACCGCCCGATAAAAAGCTCGATAAAAATATTATTGAATATCATTGAATAGTATCTCTTCTCTGAGTTTCAGTTTCAATGGACATTTTATAAAGTTCAGTGTTCGGGTTCGGGTTCAGCGTTTGACCAATGCCGGGCACATTCGCCGCAATTTCTGGTGCATTTCGTCGATTTGTTGGCAGTACTTCTTCGCTGTAGTACTTCTTCGCGTCGATTTGTTGGCAGTACTGCTTCGCTGTAGTACTTCTTCACGTCGATTTGTTGGCAGTACTTCTTCGCTGTAGTACTTCTTCGCGTCGATTTGTTGGCAGTACGCTTCTTCGTTTCGCCCGGATTCAGAAAGCTGTGATGGATGAGATGGATAATATATTACCAATTAAAGATTGACTTTTTGATTTTAAAATCTTTATTGTGCGACTTTTTTCTTACTTTTATTAAAAAAATCATGTTCAAAAAGTGATTAAATTTGAAACAAATTGATTAAACATTGGGTTTTTAAGCTTTTTCAGTTTCTCTGTTTGAAAGAACTGCTCGCCTTTCCAAGATAGGCTAATAAGTTCCCGAGTTTCTCGAAAAGTTTAAACCAATTAAACCCGAGTTCAATAAAATTCAATAAAATGAATATCTCCAATCGATTCACCGACCCCGAAAACCCCCGGATACAAAGTTACAGCTGAATATCTTTTTGTATCATCTACAAAGCAAAAGAGAAATCCATAAACGACTGGCGAAGTGTTCTTTGTGCGGCCGCGTAATCGCTCTCCATCTGGCAAACGGCCCCGGATAGGGTGCTTGGCTTTTGGATGGGAAGGTTAGATGGGAAGGTTAGATGGGAAGGTGCGGTGAGCGAAAGGTGGGAGGGGAAGGTGTGATGATCGATTCTTTGTGCGGCCGCGTAATCGCTCTCCATCTGGCAAACGGCCCCGGATGGGGTGCAGCGCTTTTGGGAGAAGGAGAAGACGGAGAAGAAGCGGTGAACGGCTGGAGAAGAAGCGGTGAACGAATCATCCTCCGCATGTCGCTCATTCAATTGATGGTTGGTTTGGACCTCGTTTTCTCGTAAAGTATCTATAACTTTTGCTGCATTATCTCCATCCAAAAGAACTGAAACTCGTAACAAAAGTGCTTGCAGGGGGAATGAGTGGTGAGCGACTGTGCCTACTTTGCGCGTCACTATGCCCAAATTTTAGGAAAGCTCTTTTTGCCTTAATTTTAGCTGTACTTATCTATAAATTTTAGATTCTGTTAAACCATTGTTTTACTTAAAAAGCAGCTTAGCTGGAAGCCGACTCGAGCGCTTTGTCTTTTGCTTTTCTCAGGATTCAAACAAGATTTAAAATAATCGTAATCAGTGTAATGATGAAATTTCTACAAAAAGTGTATTAATTATTTTGAATCAGGCTTTATTTTTAAAAATATTTGATTGATTTGATTGATTTGATTGATTGATTTGATTGGTTTGATTGATTGATTGATTTGATTGATTTGGTTGATTTGATTGATTTGATTGATTGATTTGATTGATTTGTTTGATTTGATTGATTGATTGACTTGATTGATTTGATTGATTGATTGATTTGATTGATTGACTTGATTTGATTGATTTGATTGATTGATTTGATTGGTTTGATTGATTGATTGATTGATTTGATTGATTTGGTTGATTTGATTGATTTGATTGATTGATTTGATTGATTGATTTGATTGATTGATTTGATTGATTTGATTGATTGATTTGATTGATTGATTTGATTGATTTGTTTGATTTGATTGATTGATTGACTTGATTGATTTGATTGATTGATTTGATTGAGATGGTTTCTCTAGATGAATGTTGCAATTTTAGTGAGATAAAGTGTCATCTGTGTCATCACTAATAAACATCACAAACATTTGCACAATTTTCTCAAATCTGATCAAATTTCGTCTTTCACCACTTCCGCGTCATTGAAAATTGCTTAAAATTGTGAAAAGCCCGCGATCAGAAAACGCTTTGTTTCAAAGTTTTGCTTAAAAATTGAAAAAAAGGCATTTTAAAGCAAGTCATCGGTGCTTTCGAATCAAAAATTCACGAAAAGCTCGGTCAAAAATTCGTCGAACACCATGGAGATTTGGACAAAAAGAAAAGAGAATTCTTTCACAAACATCTACATTAGTTTTCTTCACCAAGAGAACTATTTTTTTAGCTGTTATTTGACAATTATCTATTCTCATTGTTTCTTAAAACTTTTCACGGCGATCATTGGATCTAATTGTTAAGAATTTTTGATTGAAAAAAAAATATTTTTAAATTGAAGCAGCTTGCAGTAAAAAAAGTTTTATATTGAAATCTTGAAAAAATATTCGAAATTTCTACGCATTTCATTGTTAGTTTTATTGCAAAAATAATGTTTTAAAGTATTGAAATTGAAATTTCGATTAGAATTTCCAGAAAAGCTATGGTTTCTTTTTCCTAAAAGCTTACTATTGGGTTGGTGAATTGAAAACTGCCGGCTATTGTCATATGTGACAGTTTGAGCACCTTCTTCAAAAGAAACCCATTTTGGTGTCAATGGAAAAGTTGTAGAGAATCAAAAATCAAGCTTATACCCAAATTTCCAAAAAGATACACTTAGTAGTTCCGCTTAAAATGCAAGTTTTAATGCAAGTTCCGCTTAAAATTTGTATGTTCCGTGTGTTCCTTGTGCGGCCGCGTAATCGCTCGTCGTCTGGCGTAGAGCTTTAACATAACGTCCTTCCCCTCTGCCTTTGCTAAACGAACCTGGCCGGCTCCGAATCCTCAAATTGGACATTGACTTCTCCGCAAATCAAGGCTGATCTCGATCTGTTGGGTTGGTGAATTAAAAACTGCGGACTATTGTCAGTTTGAGCACTTTCTTCAAAAGAAACCCATTTTTGGTCTCAATGGAAAATGATTGCAAAAATAATGTTTTAAAGTATTGAAATTGATTTTTAAATTTCGATTAGGATTTTCAGAAAAGTTTTGTTTTCTTTTTCCTAAAGCTTACTCTCTTTTACTTTTCTCTTTTCTTTACTTTTCTCTTTTCTTTACTTTTCTCCTATCAATCTCTTTTCTTTCTTTTTTCTCTAATTTCTTTTTAAAAACCAATTTTCTCTACAGTAACCCTATTTTGTTCAGATGGGTTTCCTTTTTTCGACAGCCGCCATTGTTTTGCTGATGTTCGCGCGTCGAACCCGGGCGGATACGTGTCCCGATACGAGTCCACGTAAGTGAGAAATACCCTGGAGAAAGCCAAAGAATCTACGTAGATTTTCATATGTTACCTCCGATTCAATCGATCTCTGATTGAAACCCTTTATCTTTATCGAAACCACTTTTCTAGAAAAGACATTTTAAGAAGAATTTTAATAAATTTTTCAATCAAATCTAAAATCAAACAAAGTTTTAGCTTTGTTCAGCACTTTAGTACCTTAAAACCATCGAAATTTCGCTCTTTTTATTTATTAATCAAATTTCAAACAATAGTTTATCAAAAATATTTCAAAAGAAATGCATCTTTCTTCTCATTTTTAAAGAAATTTATGCAAAAACTAGAATTTATTTAGGAATTTAGTGATTTTAATGTAAAAAACATTATTCTGTTAGAAAGGTTTCCAAATCGGAGGTAAGATATACATTTTAACACGCGATAATGTTTATCTATATGTCGCAGCCGCTCGTGATTTTCAGCAGCTAGTGATTGAATCACCTAGCTAGCCACTAGTGATTGAATGACCTAACTAACCACTAGTGATTCAATCACCATCGGATAGCCACTAGTGATTCAATCACCTAGCTAACCACTAGTGATTCAATCACCCAGCTAGCCACTAGTGACTAAATCACCTAGCTAGCCACTAGTGATTGAGTTTTTTTAACGAAACATTTGGAATACAATGCAGATTTATCTCACATGCAAATAAAAAAGTTAGGCTAATAGGACCAAATATTTGAACACCTCGGGAGATAACTTCAGTAGCCAACCTCGAAAAGTTATGTCATCTAAATGAAAATAAATTTTCCTTAATATTTTTGGCTTTATGAATTGCAAGTTTTATTCACTTTTCAACAATTTATTGCAAACATATAATAAGTAAACAAGCTTAACAACAAAAGAATCACTAGCGGCTAGCCGGCAATCACTAGCGGCTAGCCGGCAATCACTAGCGGCTAGCCGGCAATCACTAGCGGCTAGCCGGCAATCACTAGCGGCTAGCCGGCAATCACTAGCGGCTAGCCAGCAATTTGGCTACTGAAGTTAAGATGTTAAAATATATGTCCTATTAGCTCCTATTAGCTTAACTTCTTTATTTGCATGTAAGATAAATCTGGATTGAATTCCGAATGTTTCGTTTCAAAAACTTTCAATCATCCTCGGCTAGCCGTTGATGATTCAATCAATGGCGATTGAAAATCACGAGCGATTGCGACCAATTTATCCCTATATTCCTAATTGTGGTGACTTTATTTTAGCAAAATTGAAACATGACTTTTTTTACTCTTTCGATTACCTTTCAAATCAGCATCAATTGGCAAAGCACATCATAATTTACTTATAATTAACAATTATTCACATCTAGTCAAGAAGATTCCATTGGATTAACGCATTATTCACTAAACTTATCTCATTTGAAATTCATTTCAGCGACTCTCCAAGTGCCGATCTATCAAGTGGCGATGAACTCGCCGCTAACAAGTGAGTCTAAAAACAGTTTTTTGTAAAATTTTAAGCTTTAAGCAACTCAATCCCCTTTTCAAATCATATTTCAAATCATAATCAGATTATTGCTCCATTTTTATAGCTGTAGCTGCAATTTAAGTCGTTTAGTTACGGATACAAAATTGTATGTTTCAAGTTAAAGGGCATTAAATGGAGATGGCAATTTTCAATGGATACGATCACTTTTCCTTTAAAATTCGCCTATTCTAAAATTTCAAGTGAAACCCTCTAAAGCTGTGGTTAAGAAAAGTTGCCATACTTCTTTTCTTTCAACTTGAAACATCTAATCTATAAGTAGACATGAGTTTTGGTTTGATTCCGCTTCGAATTAAGCTGAACCGAATTTTGAATAGCTTTGATCTGAAGCTCTTGACGAAAGCTGGCTGACTAAAGCTGGCTGACTAAAGCTGGCTAAGCTAAAGATAGCTAAAGCAAAAGCAAAAGCGTTGTTAGTCTTAAGTCTTAAATTTTAGCCCAATACATTCACTTCCCGTCAACCACTTCGTTCGACAATGGCACAGCAAAAACGATTTATCAAATCGACGGAATGTTCGCGTCAACGGGGAGAATTTTACCTTTTTTTGCGTTTTTGCGACAAATTTGATCCCAAAACTACTTGATTTGGTCACACGGTAAACACACCCTTTCTGGTGCACTCAATTCTTCATTTTTCTTACAATAGCAACGAGAAAACTGGGAATTTAGTGCACTAGAAAGGATGCGTTTACATTTTAGAATGTTGGCAATGAGCATTTTTCTATCTGAAATGAATGCATTCTAGTTCAATTATCGAGATTAACGCTGTTAATTTGAAACAAGCTTTTTGAACATAAGAACTTGTTTTGATTAAAGATGATTAAAGATGATTGAAGATCAAGAAAAATGCTTGACAACTACTTGATAAGTATTGACAACTACTTGACAACTATTTGGTAACTTCCTAATCAAGCTTGACATCTTTTAAGTTCAAATTGTTTCCTTCAATTCTTCAAGTTTCAACAACAAATTGAATGGCTTTTACGAAAACGTCGTATGTTATTTAATGTCTCGAATTTTAGAGTGCATCAACTTGCATCGCTGCCGGCTGTTTGATCACATTGCAAGTGATGGGCAATCAAAATGGAAATAACAGTAAGTTTGGTGATGGAAAGGAAAAGGATCGGATTTGATTGCTGAAATATTAGGCTCTCCAGAAAGTCTTTTCGTTCCTCAACCAGTCCGGATTTTTTTTTAGTTTCGATCTACACAATCCCTTCATCGTGGGCCTCAAGCATGAACTATCAGGCAAGACAAATTTAGTTAAATAGACTTTAGTCCGGTCTACGAAACCGCCAAACAAACAAAGAAACAAACAAAGAAACAAAGAAACAAACAACAAACAACCAAAAAAACCAACAAAGAAACAAAGAAACAAACAACAAACAACAAACAACAAACAACAAACAACAAACAAACAAACAAACAAACAAAAAAACAAACAAGAAGGATACTGTAACTTTGGTGCATTACAGTGCAATTGTGAGGCACTAGAATAAGCTAAAACATTACAGTAAGCATTAAAATAAACTCAAAAACATTCAGACATTCAAAACTTCAACAAAGTATCTTCCAATTCAATAACGAAACAAAAGATATCAATTTAATCTAAATCCCAAACTTGTTCACTTGCTGCAATAGTCAATGTTTCAATTTAAGCAGCTTGCTCAATTAAATAAAGCTTTAATCCTTTTAATCCTTTTAAGCCCAAAAACAAACTTCTAACAGCTATTTCTTTCTCTTTAAGTGACAAAAAGTAACCATTTCAAGAGATTTTCTGCTTTTTTTCTAGGGTTTCGTCAATTTGGCTACACTGAATTGTGTACAAACGTATGGCGCGTGTGGAGCGACGATTCCCCTCTACGCCTATGAGAATACGAAATACGCTGGTGGGCAATGAAAAGCTTTAGAATTTGTCCGGAAAATTGAAATCAAATGTACAAATTACAAGCAATCAAATAAAATCAAATAAAATCAAATAAAAAATTAAATAAAATCAAATAAAATCAAATAAAATCAAATAAAATCAAATAAAAAATTAAATAAAATCAAATAAAAATCAAATAAAATCAAATAAAAACCATAAAATCTCTAGACGAGTACGTGAATGTTGGCTATGGAATGGATGCGCCGGCGGCCGATGGGTACAATCCGATGATAGGTGGCACTCCGCTTTGTTTCCTTTGGCCTGTTCCGTATGTTTTTTTTTAAAATATCTAATTCTTATTCTACAAATTCTTGATTGCTTTCTTGATTCTTGATTTCAGAACCACAACAAGTACGACGACAACGACGACAACGTGAGTTCCGAGTTACAGCGTCGATGAGCCGTTGACCTAGCGTCATTAAACTGACTTTGAAACCCATTCTTTTGAAACTAGGACTTCCAAATGACAATTTTTGATTAAACTTTGATTAGACACATTCACGACAAAGCAATTTTTGTCTTTTTTTGGCTTAGCTGCTGTTTCGGATGACAGCTACCGTAAATACTCTAATAGAAAATCAGCTTTTTTTTTTTCCACTTTTCAATCATTCTTTTCTAAGCGCTGGTTAACGCTAAAAATATGTGTTATATCTCAAAAAATCATCCATTCTCTCTACTTTAATTTGATACCTAAGCGGGTAGAAACAAACGTACTGGTGCCGAGATATGAGCGGCTTTTTGAGTGTCAACTTAGACGCGACGCTTCTATTCTATTAGAATCTTTACGGTACTTCTGTAACTTATAAATCCTTATATCTTTTCTAGAAATATTGTGATCCTTTCTGTGCATCTTCATCTCTTTTAGACTTACCCACTCGCTCACCCTCAATTTGATACTTAAGCGCCCAGAAAAAAACGTACTGGTGTCGAGATCTGAGCGTTTGTTTAAGAGTAAACTTTGACTACGCGACGCTCCTAGAGAGCACCGTTCTATTTCTTTTTTTACGGTATTTATGCTAGCTGTAGACCTAAAAAGTTGTAACTGGTGGCATTCTGGGATGGAGAATCTGAATCCGTTTTTAGTTTTTGTGAAACTTTAATTTCCGAATCAATACGGTCATCACAAAACTTTCTAAAACTTGGGTAATTAAACCGAATGAAATATCCAAAAAAAGAGGAATTTTCTTTTAAAACTAATAACGTATTCGAAATCCTTGATCCCGAAAACCTACTGGTGCAAATTTTCAGCCTAATCTGCTTCAAAAAAAGTTTTAAATCCACGTACGGCCGGGTTATCACGAATTTGTTCAAAAACTACTTTTAATATATAAATTTAACCAATATTGAACTAAATTTGTAGTTAATTCTTTTAAAAAAAGACTTTTTGAGAGCTTCTAAAACTGCTAAAAACAACATTTTCAATAAAATTTGACTGAGAACTTATAATCAGCATAATTTTGATGTTTTACTGAACTGCTAATGCTTTAGAACCCCGTTCACTGGCTCAACCACCACTGGACCAACTACAAGTGGGCTTTTTTTGTTGTGCATGTCAAAGAAAAACCTTTTTACGGCTTTATATTGATAGGCTTTATAGCTAAGCTTGTTTAAAGTTTCAAAAAGCTTGCAAAAAAGCTCTTTTCAGCGACGGCAAGCACCACAACGTTCACCACTGTTTCGACGACAACTGGATGTAAGAGCAATAAGCTTTTGAATGTTTTTTAAATTTTGTATCAGCTCAAATGATCGCATACTGTGGTTTTACTTATCTTGTGGCTTTACTTTACTTATCTTTACTTATCTTTACTCATCTTTACTCATCTTTACTCATCTTTACTTATCTTTACTTATCTTTACTTATCTTTACTCATCTTTACTTATATTTACTCATCTTTACTTATCTTTACTTATCTTGACTAATCTTTACTGATCTTTACTTATCTTTACTGATCGCACGTAAAACTAAGATAAGTAAAAAGAAAATTATGCAAATTGCTATAAAATTAGCAAAAGAACTTAAGCATTAACCGGAAACTTATGCGTTATCTCCCAGACTTAAAAATTCGCATTTATCAATTTGCAGATAGCATCTGTTTTTTGGAATGAGACTCCCATCACTCCATACCGTAAATACTGTAATAGTACCCCACCCCCCTCGTACAGTCGCGTAGTCGCAAAAGTTTTTTAGTATTTCATTTTTTTCAAAGCGCCCGTACTTTCAAAAATGTGTCTTTGGTATCAAAAAATAGCCCTGAATTTCAGCTATTTTTTGATACCTAAGCGCGCATTGTAGCATAAACCAGTGTCGAGAAAAACTCGTTCAAAGCTAGACTACACAACACTCCGCACCGTCATTATGGGGTTGGGGTGTTATTACAGTATTTACGGTAGGTAGTATTAAGCAATAAAATTTGCAAAGTAACTTAAATTACCTCTAAACCTTAGCCAATACTTATGAGTTATCTCCCAGACTTAAAAATTTGCATTTATCAATTTGCAGATAGTATCTGTTTTTCGGAATGAGACTCCCATAACTTCATAGATAGTATTAAGCAATAAAATTTGCAAAGCAACTCAAGTAACTCAATTAAAATGATAGCAATTTTTTATAGAAGAAAAACCTTTCTTTCTTTCAAAGAAAATAAAACTTTCTAGATTTTCTAAAACAATCTAAACAAGCAAACCAGAAATCAAATTAGCATATGCGCGAAATTAGCATTTAAATGCACCAACGAAGCGCAGTCGAGCATGGGTGGAAAGGTGGGTGGGGAAAATTTCAGTCCGAATCGTTGATTTATTTCTTTTTGTGGCGAGGAGATAACCAATTAGCCCATTAGCAATTAACCCATTAGCCCAATCTTTTCATATTAAACCTTATTCACTTTGAAACATCAATAATTTAAGCCACCGTCAGCACTACGAGTTACACGGGCTCGTCGACAACTGCTTGTGAGTGCTTGATTTTGATGAGTGGTTTCATTCTAAATGACTAATTTAGTGTTTTACAAAGAGATAAGGCTTTATTAAGGCCAATATCTAGGCCAATATATAGGCCAATATCTAGGCCAATATATAGGCCAATATATAGGCCAATTTCTAGGCCAATAATAAGATATATTAACGATCGGAAGAGTATAAAGTTGAAAAATTTTTTTTTTTAAATAGAAATCGATGCTCGCTTTAATTTAACCCATTTTTTGAAGCACGAAAATTTTCAACAAATTGATTTCCACCGTTTTCAACAACTTGATTTAAAATTGAAATTGATTCATCAATTAACCAAAATCCTTCTTGTTTAAGTTTATTCACTTTGAAACACACGAAATTTCAGCCACTGTCTCCACGACTTCTTTCACTGGATCGACGACAACGGGAAGTGAGTTGAAAGATTTGAAAAATCCGTTCTCTAAAACGTTTCTCTTTTCTCTTTTTATCGTAATTTTGTCTCGATTTTTATCCAATATAAATGTTACGGTCGATTTTAAAACAATTCAAATCAAAAGTCTGATTTTAAAACCTTTTTACCATAATAACTCTTTAACATTTTTACACTTTTACATTAGAATCAAAAGATCAAAAGTATTTTATTATATATTTTATATAATAGATTTTAAAAAGTTTATATCTTACGTCCTTTTTTTTGAAACCTTTATAACAAAATAATGTTTTTAAATTAAAATCACTAAATTACTACCACAAATTACTAAATTACTAGGTAAATAAATTCTAGTTTTTGCATAAGTTCCTTTAAGAATAAAAAAGATGCATTTCTTTTTGAAATGCCTTTGATAAACTATTGTTTGAAATTTGATTAATAAAGCCGCTAGTGATTGAATCACCTAGCTAGCTGCTAGTGATGTAATCACCTAGCTAGCTGCTAGTGATTGAATCATCATCGGATAGCCGATGATGATTACATCACTTGCAGCTAGCTAGGTGATTCAATCATTAGCGGCTATCCGATGGTGAATCAATCACTAGCGGCTAGCTAGGTGATTGAATCACTAGCGGCTAGCTAGGTGACTCAATCACTAGCGGCTAGCTAAATGATTCAATCACTAGCGGCTATCCAATGGTGATTGAATCACTAGCGCTGAAAATCACGAACGGCTGCGACATATAGATAAACATTATCGCGTGTTAAAACGTATATCTTACCTTCGATTTTGAAACCTTTTTAACCGAATAATGGTTTTGCATTAAAATCACTAAATCCCTAAATATATTCTAGTTTTTGCATAAGTTCCTTTAAAAATAAAAAAGATGCATTTCTTTTTGAAATGCCTTTGATAAACTATTGTTTGAAATTTGATTAATAAATAAAAAGAGCGAAATGTCGATAGTTTTAAGGTACTAAAGTGCTGAACAAAGCTAAGATTGTGTCTGATTTTCGATTTTGTTGAAAAATTTATTAAAATTCTTTGTAAAATATGTTTTCTAGATAAAAAGCGGTTTCGATAAAGATAAAGGGTTTCAAAATCGGAGGTAACATATGAAAATCTACGTAGATTCTAGGCTTTCTCCATCTCTCACTTACGGGGACTCGTATCGGGACACTTATCCGCCTACATATATCCGTAGATCCGCCTAAACCTTCTGTTAAGATACTAAAGTGCTAAACAAAACAAGAATTGTGTTTGATTTGGTCAAGAAATTGAATAAAATTTCTTCATGAAATGATTTTTCTAGGTAAAAAGAGGTTTTGAAGATGAAAGGTTTCAAAATAGGACTTAAGATATCGACTCTTTCTATCTTTCGATATTCTTTGTAAACCCTCACTTTTTTAAATTATGGCAATGTTCTGATACTTGAATCTAAACAATTTGAAACATCAATAATTGAAGCCACTGTCAGCACTACGAGCTACACGGGCTCGTCGACAACTGCTTGTGAGTGCTTGATTTTGATGATTGTTTTCATTTTAAATGATTAATTTAGTGTTTTACAAAGAGATAAGGCTTTATTAAGGCCAATATATATATATACTTTATCCGACAAGGAAAAGTGACAATGCAAACAGATTGAACAGCGTAGACGAAGAAAGATAATTGATATACAAACACAACTACAATTAGACAATATGGGCCAATATATAGGCCAATTTCTAGGCCGGTAATAAGATATATTAACGATCGGAAGAGCGGAAAGTTGAAATAAAAATTTTTTTTAAATAGAAATCGATGCTCGCTTTAATTTAACGCATTTTTTGAAACACGAAAATTTAGCCACCGTTTTCAACAACTTGATTTAAAATTGAAAGTGATTCATCAATTAATCAAAAGCCTTCTTATTTAATTTACTTCACTTTGAAACACACAAAATTTCAGCCACTGTCTCCACGACTTCTTTCACTGGATCGACGACAACGGGAAGTGAGTGAAATTTGAGAAGAAACAAAAAAAGATTCGATTTTTCATGAAAGAAAATCATATTTTATGATACCTTTGACTATTTTGCACGCCACAAACCGTATTTTTTATTCGCTTTTCATTTACCGTATTTGCTCGGACCGCTGGCAGTTGAAGCAAATCACCAAGAAGCACAACATTGAAATCCCCGAACATTTTGTTCTCACTTCCACTGATTTCTTGAAAAGAAATTAAGTGTTAAGCTCTTCACTTTTCTTTCTTACTCCAAGTCGCTTGTGAATCTCTAATAGTAGCGCTCTCTAATAGTAGTGCACCGGGCCGAGCCGAGTTGATGACTATTTTACTGCTTCCAAGCTTTTGCAGAAGCTCAACACTCAAATCCCCCACAAGATCTCATCGTCAGCTACATTTTCCGACCCCATATCGATAGGTTCTGATAAGCGCTTTTCGAGATTTCGAGTAATTTAGGCAACGCTCAAGGTGCACTAATATTAGAGAGAATACGGTAAATGTGGTTGTTTGACTCCGCTCATTGATTCTTCACCTTTTGTAATCATATTCGATTTTACCATCGATTCACTATTGCTCTGTCCATTCAAACTTTGGCTTCTTAAATGCAAATTTCGCATGTCGTTGCAAAATAGTTAAAAGTACCTATTTTACTATTTTTTTTATTACGAGTTCTAGTTTTGTTCGTTTCCGTCTTTTTTGAAACAAAGCATTTTTCAGCGACGGTCACCACCACTTCGTACACTGGCCCATCAACGAGCACAGGTTTCAAAAGTTCATAATTCAATTGAGAAATTCCCCTTTAGATTCCACGACAACTGGATGTGAGTTTTGAGAAATCAGCAACGTAAAGCTTTGGGAAATTGTAAAACTTTGAAACACAAAGTTTACAAAAGCTTTAGATTAAAGAGTTTTTAATTTTTTCTTGTTTACAGTGTTTAAATAATTCGATAATTTTCGAATAGATCTTAAAATCCATTTCTATATCTGAAAATATGTATTTAGCCTCTACAACGCCCTACACTGGCTCGAGCACTACTGCATGTGAGTTTGGAAACATTTTTAAGCACTTTAATGACGTTTTTGGGCTTTAAACGAACAAATGGCTTTGCCTTGCTTTGCTTTTAAGCTACTTCATGAGTTACTTTTAGACTTTGATTGCCAAAGTTCCCCATTTAGGCAGTTTAGGGAAATGAATGAAAGAAGTAAGCTTCAAATGGATGAACTAATTCTTGAATTATTGAAATCTAATCACTCATGAAGAATGAAATCTAAAAATGAAATGAACAATGAAATGAACAATGATGAACAATTGAAATCTAATCACTGATGAACAATTCAGCCTCAACAACCCCCTACTCTGGATCTTCAACAACTGAGGGTGAAATTTTTGAGACTTTACAAGTTTTCCTCTTATAAACTTAACACTTTAAACTTTAATACCATTAGAATTGGAGTTTATTTCAAATTCAGCCTCAACACTTCCCTACACCGGCCCATCGACTACAGGTTTTTCGGTTTTCTTGCAAAATTTTCTTGAATTTTATTTTTTAGCCGGACAATCGACTCTCGCATCGCTTGGATCAAGTTAGTGAAAAAAAGACAGTCAAAGTCTTGGTTAGAGTGTGTTCTTTTCGACTAACGTGTTTTCTAATTTGAGAAAACCACCGTAGTCAAACTATTTGAGAAACCACCGTAGTCAAACGGCCGATTTACATCCGATCAACTCAATTTTGGTATCATTTGCTGATTTGATTTTCATTCTCATTCACAAGGCTCAGTCAATGATTTAAAAATTCGATTGATCTGATGAAACTAACGATTTGACTAACTAACTAACGGTACTTTTCTCAAATAGGTGCATTTTCGAAAACGCATTAGTCGAGAGAAACACACTCTAGACTTGGTCATGTGTGAACAGAGTTGACTAGGTTGAAACACACAAATTTACAGATTTACAGACGAATTCACAGATTTACAGACAGATTTACAGACAGATTTGCAGACAGAATTACAGACAGAATTACAGACAGATTTACAGACAGATTTACAGACAGAATTACAGACAGAATTACAGACAAATTTACAACCTAACTAATCAAAAATCAATCAAAACCAATCAAAACCAATCAAAACCAATCAAAAATCAATCGAAGTCAATCAAAACCAATCAAAAATCAATCAAAAATCAATCAAATCGTCTTTTTAGAGATTGGTTGGCCGATTTGGATCACCGGCGTGCTGATTTCTTCACTGGTCATCATGGCAATTGTAAGGATTAAAAGAATTCAAAATTTAAAAAATTCAAAACAACAATCGTTAAGCCAGTGTAAAATGAGAAAAATTTGCTTGAACTTGAAAAAACTTGAAACTCGAATTTTGTTTTTCATTTATTTTACAAAATTTCGAACCAGTCAATGAGCTTTCTTAGTTTATTCTTTAGCAAATTTATTCCTTTCAATGTTAAGTATATTAAAAGTTATTAAAAGCTCATATGCTCATAAAAGTTTTATTAAAGCTTTAGATCCTTACAGAAAACTCTCCAAATTGAAGCTCAAACTCTGAAAATTCAAAAAACTCGACTTAAAAACGATTCCCCGAACTCTAAAAGGCACTTTGCTCAAAATAGTTAGCTCAGAAGAGCAAAAGAATGCTTCAAAGAGCAAAAGAATGCTCAGAAGAGCAAAAGAATGCTTCAAGAGAGCAAAAGAATGCTTCAAAAGAGTTCAAAAGAGTTACACGAATGAGTCTAACTCTTTTGGAGTGTTTTAAAGTAATTAAGGTACGATTTTAAAGGTATTCATTGATCATTTTAAACTCTATGATTGATACAAAAACCATTCATAAAGTACTTGACTAATTTTTCCGCTGCAGATCTTCGGTGCCACATGGGCGTTCATTCGAGGCGGCTCCTCAACAAATCCCACCACGAATCCCTATGCAAATCAAGCACATGGTTTCATTTTTCACTTCAAAATTGATAAATTGATAAATTAAAGATTAAATCTCTAAGAATATCTTTAAGAATAGCAGAAAAAGTGTCAATGATGGCAAAATTTGGCAAATTTTGAGTAATGCTTGGAAATTGATTGGTAGGATTTTAAATTTTAACTTTTAACCTTTTTTGATTCAAGAATTCTATTCATTGAGTTGAAGTTTAACTGAAAACTTAAGAGATTTATTCAAATCCTGTCTTGAAATCGTTATTCTTTAGGCTACAAAGCAGCTCACGCCGATCTACCGCCACAACCCGTTCAGCGGGCGAATACTGGGGTAAGTGTTTGATTAGAAAGCATCATTTAAATTCGTAAACAAGTACAAATTGCAAGTCTAGTGACCCTGATGAGACAAATCTAAACTTTCTTTAGTAAACTTTAGAGTCAAAGCAAACTTTAATAAACTTTAGAGTCAAAGCAAACTTTAGCAAACTTTAGAGTTTTCACCTCTCATTCTTGTGCTATTCTGAAATTTCAGGTTTCCACGATGAACGTCGGCCCGACGTGGACCCAGCCGCACTCGATGTATTATTGAAATTGAAAAAGAAAAAGCTATGCACTGAAATATTAGCTTTAAAGAAACATTGCACAAGTAATAAACTGTGATATTTTAATAGCAATTGGCGAGCAGGGATTGCTGAAGAATTACGAGTAAACAGCTAAAATTGAATCAAATTGAAACTGATCTTTTTTTTTTCTCAATTTACCAATTTTGAGGCAACGAAATGGTAAATTAAAGGTAACACAAATATTTGTACGTATCATTTTTACAAAAAAGTAATTCAAATCTCGAAGACTACAAGGTTGCGGAGGAGAAGCTTGCGGAGGAGAAGCTTGCGGAGGAGAAGCTTGCGGAGGAGAAGCTTGCGGAGGAGAAGCTTGCGGAGGAGAAGCTTGCGGAGGAGAAGCTTGCGGAGGAGAAGCTTGTGGAGGAGAGGCTTGCGGAGGAGAGGCTTGCGGAGGAGAGGCTTGCGGACAACCTAATATACAGGGTGACCAAGAATTACCGCAACAACATCGTACTATGTTATGAGCCTCATTTCACTTTTTGCTTACCTGTTTTTATGGTTTTTGTGTATTTTTCTTATTTTATGGTATGATTACTTTCAATACATTAGTATGGTTGTTTTCAGGAATGGTGAAAGCGTCTCCACATCGACAATCGATCCTTGAGCTCAAGCGGCAGCGTGTTCAGGCGAGCGAGATCTCAAAGCGCTTGAATGTCCCCAGAAGCCTCGTTTCTCGAACCATTCAACGTTATGAAACTCTGGGCACAGTTTCTGATCGATCCAGGGATCTGATCGCCCTGGAAGAGGTGCAAAACGAACAGCGGTAACTCCGGCTAATGTCAAGAAAGTGCGCGATCGATTAAACCCTAACCAATCGGCTCGAGGAATGACAGAGAAAATGGGTCTGAAGAGAAGCTCCGTCAACACAATCATCAGGAAAAAGCTGAAAATGAAGCCGTACAAGAAGAACAAAACAAGAAGAAGAATCTCTATCAGCTGCTGCGAAGGGCAAGCGATTCCCAGAACTCCCGGTCCGGGAGTCTCGGACTTTCTGACTTTTCTGAGTGCCCACCCAGCTCACCGGATCTTAACCCATTGGATTACTCAGTCTGGAGTGTTCTTGAAGCCAGGGCATGTGCAAAACCACATAAAAATATCGAAAGTTTGAAGATGGCGCTCATCAAAGCATGGGATAGATGATGCCTATTTGCTCGCCACGCGTTTCCCAAACTTTTGCAGGCTTGTCTGAAAGCCGATGGAGGCAAATTTGAATTTAATTGTTAATTTGTTACTGTTATATGTTGAATAAAGGTATTTAAGTTATCTTTTCGAGATGGGTTGCATATTTGGTTAAAAGCCAGACCTTTTGTGTGTTGCGGTAATTCTGTAGATAAAAAAGGAGTGTCTGTCCGTCTGCAGGGACTTTTTCTCAACAGTCTTTAAGCCAAAAAAAAGTTAAATCTTTTAAAAAGTCTTAAAATATAATATAGTTCTACCGCTTAAACTAAAAAATTAAAAAGTTGAAGTTCAGTGGCACTATGGGCGGTCGAAATCGGATCGTATGGGCGGGAGACAAGCCCGCTCTCGGTTGCGCCTCGGCGACAAAACAATTCGGCCAGAAAAACCTTTAGACTGGTTCTGTATAAAGAAGTAAAACAAAAATAACAAAAATAACAAAATGCTTAATATTTCGATACAAATTAACTTCAATGGTCCTTTTGACAACAACAAAATATTGTTCGATAAGAAATCCTCTTGTTACGTCAGATTTTGAAACACGATTATTCAAAAAGAACTGATGAATCAGATTTTTAGAACTGATGAATCAGGTTTAGTGTGCAATTCTTGTGAAAATTGAATTCATTAAACCCTGAATTCATTGAATTCATTGAATTCAGGGTTTTTTCGGGAATTTTCTGGGTTTTTCTTGTTTTTCTGGTTTTTTTTTTACTTCTTTTGACTTAGATTTAGTCTTTTTCCGATCTATTCACTTTTTTTCTTTTAAATATTCTTTGTAACAGAATCAGATGAAGAAAATGGATAGATTGGAGAAAAAACGAGGACAAGTTTACAGTAGAAAGAGAGGGGACAGGTTTACAGTAGAAAGAGAAAGAGGACAGGTTTACAGTAGAAAGAGAAAGAGGACAGGTTTACAGTAGAAAGAGAAAGAGGAGAGGTTTACAGTAGAAAGAGAGAGAGGACAGGTTTTAGAGAAGTGCTCAAAAGTGTGAGTTTCAAGTTAGCTCAAGTAAGCTTCAACCTTCAAGCTTAAATCTTCAAGCTTTCAAGGTTCAAGCTTTAATCTTGGTGATTAAAGATTGGTGAAAAAACGAGGCCAAGTCTCATTTTAAAGAACGAAGACAAGTTTGCAGTAGAAAGAGAAAGAGGACACGTTTTAGAGAAGTTCTCAAAAGTGTGAGTTTCAAGTTAGCTCAAGCAAGCTTCAACCTTCAAGCTTTAATCTTCAAGCTTTCAAGGTTCAAGCTTTAATCTTCAAACTTTCAAGCTTTTTCATATTTTGTCACTTTAACAGATTTCCACTTCTTTTTTGCATCATCTCTCATCCATTTTTACATAAAATTGTGAAAAATTACCTCATCAACCTTCAAAATGATCAAGTATTCAAAAAAAAACGGGTTGAAACAAACTTTTTCTTTCTTTTTTTGTCCCAAAACGGTGACCAAGCAAAATCCATGGTTATTGTCCATTTTCCCTCCAAAAAAAGCTGAAAACTGAAAAAATATTTTCGAATATTCTTTTCTTTCTTTAAAATGAACACCTAGCAACAGAAAAAAAGGCAAAAACCGGCGAAAAACTTGAAATTTCTTTCAAATTTCAAATTCTAACGTCCACAAAGTTTTCTATTGCATTGTGATTAAACTTTAGTCTTTTTGAAACGCCCACATTTTTTTTGTGGTTCCTCGAATTTCACATTTCAATAGTCATTCTTCAAATTTAGCCTTTAAGCCTTTAAAATGGGTGAATACTCGCTGAGATTCTTATTTTGTGGATATTTATTGGGAAGTGAGTTTGAGTTTTGTTTGGTGATTGTTTGGTGATTGTTTAGTGTTAACGATTTTTCTAAAAATCGATTGATAGCATTTTATTGGAAGCCAGAGCCTTGTCAGAAGCCAGATCCAGATCTACGAACTTCTACGAACTAGACACAACCTAATAAAAGCAATAAGCTAGTTGACAGCAAGATGAGATCAGGGCAAGTAAGCTGAGCTTCTACTTCTGGTAGTAAGCTGAGCCAGACTACTTGACTACTGGTTTTTCCTGGTTTTGTATTGGGTTGTCCAGTTATGAATGTCGGTTTTTTACTTCTCTTAAATTTCTCAAGATACCGAAATCAAGAAAAAGATGTATATGAGTATTATTCGAAAGCTGAAGATCTCCTCTACATTTTGATATAAAAAGTTTTGCGAATTTGTCGCGCTTTTGGGCAAATTGACTGCACAGAAGACGAGGTGACCAAAAAAAAATGGAAGGGTGCCTGTGCAGTGTGTGAGAGAATACCGCTGGGGGCAATGATTATTAGATATTTATTCCGAATCTAGCACAATACTAATCTAGCGAGAAAATACAAAAGAATAGAATCAATCGTTGGTTCAGTGTTTCATAGCAATACGAAAAAGCAATACGAAGAGAATGTACGGAAAAACAATATAAAGTGAGCTCCCTCCCTTTTATCCGTCCCTTTATCAAAAAAGCGATCTTTTAGAGGCGGGACAAGAAAATTAGACATTCAAATCAAAACATTAAATAAGATTTCACAGAAAAGAGCCACTTTTCTGCACAGTGCCTTTGGATCAAGTTTTGGCTCCGCTCAAATTGAGTTAACCGTTTGATGTTTGGCCAATAGATAGATCAATATAACTTTTTTTTAAATATCACAATTTCAGAGCATCTTTACTTTTCTTTTCTTTTCTGAGCGGTTATTTTACACCATAAAACTTGAGGAATAGCTAAGCTGGGATGGCTGGGATGGCTTGAGGAATAGCTAAGCTGAGATGGCTGGGATGGCTGGGATGGCTTCGGGAATAGCTAAGCTGAGATGGCTGCGATGGCTGAGATGGCTTCGGGAATAGCTAAGCTGAGATGGCTGGGATGGCTGGGGTGGCTTGAGGAATAGCTAAGCTGGGATGGCTAAGTTTTTTGGAAAACGACCTCTCCCTTTGTGCAGTCAATTTGCCCAAAAGCTGCACAAATTCCAAAGCTTTTTATATCAAAATGTAGAGGAGATCTTCAGCTTTCGAATGATATATAACACTCATCTACATCTGTTCGATATCTTGAGAAATTTACAAAATAGTAAAAACGCGAATTCATAACTAGACAACCCAATAGATCAAGCACTAGATCTGGAGCTGACAATCGAACTTTAGAAACGTCTCGTCGTTAGAAACGCTTTAGAAACGTCAAACCAAACTTTAGAGCCATTAAAGGTTGCTTGGCTTTGCTGTAATCATTGCTTAATTTTACCGAAACCATAAGCCTCATAGATTTGGAAAAAAAGAACTAATAGTCTAATAGTGGGATTGAACTCCCGACCAAGACAAAAGGCTCTTTATTAGACTATTAAAGTTGATTAAAGCTTAAAGCCATGGCTATAAGCCTGAGCCTGAGCCTGAGCCATAAGCTGATGCTTTTTCAGCGATCACATCACCAACTGTTCCCTCAAAAAACACCACCATCATCACAACAACCGCTCCACTAATCACCAAGAATGTCTCCCTCCCGTACAACAACTACACCGGTCCTCCACCAACGATTCCACCATCTTGGAATGCCACTGACATTCCACCATCACCGAACAATTATACAGGTAAATTCTACATCGACTTAGAGAAAATTCCGAATTTCAACAATGAATTTAAACAATGTGATGCCATTTGTTTTGCCTTGAAACGTAGTTAAAATTTAAAAGTTATCCATCGTTAGTTAGTTAGTTTAAAGTTAAAAGTTATATCTCTTATATGTTAAAACTCTTATAGGTTAGAGTTCTTATAGGTTAGAGTTC